TATTGCACCGAGAAGCTAGCGTTACCGCTAGAGGATATGGAGTGCGTCTTTTGCCAGTCGCGCGACCATGTCGACACGTCTTGTCACTGAGCTCTGGAGGAGCTTCACGTTCAACCCGAACACGGTCCGCAAGGTCCGTTCGCTTCCGGTATTTTGCTACTGCTGCGGCCGCCAGGGCCATTACGGCCCCGCGTGTGGGCTGAACCCGCAGAAAACAAAAGAGGGGGTTTGGGAGATATGGAGTCAAGCGAATTGTGACCGGTACCAGGACCAGGCCTCATCAGAGATGGCGATAGACTTCGAAGCCTCCGCCGGCTCGGCCTCATCCGAACGACCTGATCTTGGGAAGAGCATGGTCCCCAAGAGGCACATCTTTTTCGAGGAAGCCGACGATGACGACGAGGCAGAGGAGTTCATTCGTCCGCCTGTGCAAAAGAACGCGCGGACTGGCCACATCAGCTTCGCCGGCAACAGAGGAGACCACAGCGGGAGACGGCCCAACAAGCAATACGATGACAGGAACGGGAGGACGGGATTTGCACAACCGCCACTTCCTCCTGGGCCCCCTCCTCCCTTTGCCGCCACAGGGCTCTCATCACCAAACCCGGAGAAATGGCGGTCGGCGAAGAGGGGGAGGAGCAAGATACTCGTAAGGACATGGGCATGAGCTGTTTGGGGGGGATCGCCTTCGGGCCTTGGGACCGGCGGAATCATTTTCCATCCGCCAGGGAAGGGCCCGCATCTCCTTTTTCTGGGTCCCTAGACATCGTCATAATCGACAATCTCGGCATGCAGTATGGTACGAGTTACTTTTTTGAGCAGGGACTCGAACAGTGTGGGGTGCAGGATGGGCCAAAGCATTGCCGAGTCCAATAAAAAAACATGATATTGACCAATGATTGCCGGAATGCGCCATTTGCATTTCCGCTTTTGGTATGTTTCATCGGGCGTGTGTTCTGGGCCTATCAATGGCGGTGAGGAGGGGAGCGATCGGTGAGAGATTTACTTGTAATCGCCGCAAAGCTATGGTAGCTTTTGCGGTCTGGAAATCAAGGGAGAGGTGAGGGTGGGCGGGGGCAAAGGGAGTGGAGAAGAAAGCAAAGGCAAGTGGATGGTTAGTGGGATAGACCGACGACGCGTCCGACAGTTGCTCCATGTTGTGTGATTGAGCCCCGTGCACCCCTCTTACCCCTCCAAAGCCTCTGAGGGCCCTTCGAGGAAGCACGGGGACGAAGGGGGCCGGGACCCGGAGAACCGTAAGGTCGACAGAAACCGGACGGGCACATCTTCAAATTGAACATCAACCTGTCGTCTCCGCCCAAGACGAAGGGGCGCTTAATCTTTATGTGATCGGCTGTGGATCGACATCGCGCCAGTTTCGTGTGGCAGTCGCGCGTGTCTCGCGCCGCGTGGCGGCCAAGACCCAATCATCGACCTTCTCGCTCCCTTACACGTCTCTTCATTGGTCGACCGTCCAAAAAGCGTGGCTTCTGTCCGCTTCTCCCGCCTCACCGTTTATCGATAGCGCTTCCCCCTGTCTTTCCCCGCAGCCCCTCTCCTGCACTCCTTGCAGAATGTTTCCTGTTTCATTCATTCTCACTGGATGGGAAAAGTTGGTCTTGAGACGGCTGCAGACGGCCGCATTGGTGCCATGCAAGAGGTCCGCCCTCCGACCATTCAAGAGGCCCGGCGCGGTCCGCCACGTCGGGCGCGGACGCGGCGACCGGCCATTCCCTGCTCTTGAACCCGGACCTGCTCCTGCGTGCCGAACCTGCACTCCTGCACTACGGCTGCGAGGTGCATGAAGCTAGTGAGTCACCCATCACCAGTCGTTGTTGGCCCTCAACGGTCTGGGGCGACCATGGCGGAGGGACTGCCGCTCCATCTCGAAATCGCGCAAGGGAAAGCAAGGGGGAAAGGGGGGAGGGAAGGAGGACAGAGGTCCTGGCCATGGTCTTCCGTGGCACACAGGGTGATTTGTGACTCAATATAACGGGTCCCCTCTTCGGTGTTGTCGATGTCGATGCCCTGATCGAGGTTTTCCCCTCTCCCTCTCCTGATTTCTCCGGCATCATTTCTTCATAGTTCGTGGCTCCCTGGCGGTACCCTCAGTGCTCTCCCGTCCAGCATTATTGAAAGTCATTATTTCACATCTCTTTTTATGAATTGTCAATAGCGTCGAGTCTGTGTCCCGCCTCTTGAATTGCTCCTAGGGAGACGGCTTAGCCTCAACAACACAAGCACAATATTCACACTTCAATAAACCCACATCGGAGGCCACTCTACAAGTCGTCCTTGCAGGTCAGCGCATCAGTTCTTCACACACAAGAGGCACATTTCCATCTAGTCCGTCGCCTTCACGACATGCAAGCACCATGGCGACCAACCCACAAGCATTCTACTGCCTGTGGCAAAACGGCACCATTCGCGAGAGACTCTTCGAGCTACTGCCGAAGGAGGACATCTGCGCAGTTAGACTGGCCAACTCGGCCTGTTGCAATCTGGTCACCAAGAGATTATTCCTACGAACCAACCTAACATTTTCGGCAAACAGCCTGACCAAGGCCAGCCGGATAGACGCCCTGTCGAGGATCGGGCACCACATCGAGCACCTCACATTCTCCTTCCCCCATTCCAACGCCACCTTCCTACCTCCTCTCATCCACCCTCAGACTGGCGAAGTGATATGCTTTCTTTACAACCCCCACACATCCGCCGAGTCCGGCGCGACAAGACCCAAATACGGCAACTCGGAGCTGGGCGAGATCTTGACGCAGCAGTACCCGCCTCTCTTCCACGCGGCCACCCACGTGGCTTCCTTCATCAATGCCATGAAGCACATGACCAACATGCGGCACCTCACCATTAAGACACCAGGGCAAAACCCCACGGAGCGGTACCGTCGGGGCATTGTGGACTATGCGCTGATGAGCCTACGCATCTCGTTGGAGCGCGCGCCACTTACCAAGCTCTCGAAGCTCACTCTGTCGGGGGTGCACGCTTCCGCGTTTACCTACCTCCGCCACGCCCCGGGACTCGGTGCGCTCCCTTCCGCATCGGTGCGATGGCGCCAGATTCGGAAACTCTACATCTCGGTCGAATCCTGGGATTTCTACGGCCCGTCTCCCGGCCTGGACCACCTCAAGGTAATCGACGACTACATCCGGAGCTTCGCGCCGCGGCTTGACAAGCTTTCGTTTACTTGGCTGGGACGCAGGGGACCTTGCCCTATTGCTCTTTCTGGAGATCCCCTTTTCGCCCCTCCACGCAGCTCTAGGAAGCTCTTCAATGAGGTCACCAGTCCCATGTCCCCGCTGCCGCCGCGGCCTTTCCGCAGGCCGCTCATCATGCCGCGGCTCCGGTCCATGTCGGTGCGCAATGCTACCATGAACGTCGATCAGTTGCGCGGCCTCGTCTCAAGCCACAAGAACACGGTACGCGAATTCGACTTTGAGAACGTGGCGCTCATCAAGGGCGGCAGTTGGGACGAGGCGCTCGCTCCACTGACCGAGGCCGAGACCAGCGATTCGTGGTCGCGCCGGTCGGTAGGCGCCAGCGACTGTAGGCCTGGGACGTCGAGGTCGAATACCTCAGGATCCGCAGTCGCGAGCTCGGTAGAGGACGAGCATCTCCCGGCCTCGTCGGCAGCTGCAACCGCGGCCAGCCGGGAGCTGTTCGAAGTTGACTTGGAGGGCATGGTATTCGGCGGTGCCAACGACGTCGACAATTTCGAGGCGGGCGTTGAGGAATGGGCGATGGGGGTTACTGCCGCCGCCCATGGAGCCTCGCGTCCTAATTCAGCCGGAGGGAGACAGGGTCCCTCACGGCCCAACTCGGCTGGAGGCAGGATAGATGACGATGGCGGCTTGGCCTCGGATATCGAAGCGGCGAGACAGGCAAGCCAGGGGTTCACCACGAAGCTCAAGAAACGTCGCATGCGTAGGAGATCGCGCAAACATGATGAAGAAGACGAAGTCCATGAACGTGAAGAGGAGCGCAGGAGTTCCCGCAAACATGACGAAGATTATGAAGTACGTGAACACGAAGATGAACGCAAGAGCGAGGGCCGGAGGAGTGAGCGCCACAGCGGTGGCCATCGCCACCAGAGCAGCCGGAGCCACCACAAACACTCTCGCAGTGACGACACCAGCGATCGGCATTCTTCCAGCCGGGATTCACCACGGCGTCACCGCCGCCATCGCCGACACCGGTCGGAAGAAGTACCCGAGGTGCCATTCATGCCCGAAGTCATTGGCACGGACGACGAGGCTTATACCCCGCCCGAGACACCGCGGCCAAAGATGGACATCAGCGTGCCCATCCTGAATCCCGACCCGCTCCCTGTCATGTTGCAGCCAACGGTATACGACGCATCAGCCAGATTCGGCCCATTGCTAAGCACGCCGGAGTCCTCGCCCCGGTTGGACGACGGCCTCTCTCCGACGCAGCGCTCCATCGAGGCAGACATGCTCGCCGAGGCCGAGGAGGCAGCAGCCCGCTCCTCGGCGCTCCAGCGAGCCAAGCAAGCCGTCATCACGAAGCTGTCCCGCGAGTTTTCCAAGCGGAAGGGCGACGGAGGCGACCCTCGCGACAAGGGCTCGGCTGCTGTGGTCGCCAGCCTGTCGGCGCTCAACCTCGGCATGAACCTGCCCGCACAACACTACAGCGGGCTGAGCTGCGGGTCGTCGTCAAGCGTGAGCCACCGGCTTCGGGAAGGCCTCTTTGGGCGGAGTATGGCCAACGTGGCCATCGCGCCCGACCACCGCAGTCTGGAGAGCCAGAGTGCCTTGGTGCCGTTGATGTTTAGTCGGTCTTAGGATCGTGGTGCATAGGAAGGGGTTTCAACAGTTGTTGGGGAAGTGCGGCGTCTCGGTGTTCCGACAGGCTTGCTACACGGAGTTGAATGAGGCAATGGCCAGGGAGGTTGGCCCGGATAACGGAAACAAAAAAAAACATGATACCATGGGAAACGGAGGATTCGAAACTATGTACATGTACATACACTACGACTTGTAATGACCTTTCCTTTTGTTCAAATTTACGATTTATGAATGATACAAGTAAAACCAAGCAACATGCCTCAACCATAACCGAAAGTGATTGTCCCCGACAATTGATGATTCACTCGTCAGTTGGGATGAACTAGTCCTAACTCGATTCACGACACTGAGACACTGGCCAACTTTCGAACGCATCGCATCGGTCCGTCGCGAAAATTACCCGCACTTGTACATACAAGTAAGTACATGGGGAACGTATTGCCCACCACTGCATCATGCACGCAAAAGCCAAATTGACAAATGAAACGAATTTTACACACCGAAACAATCCCTCCTCGACGCAATCATTCGTCAAACTACTGTGTAGGGACGAAAGAGGATAGCTAAAGACGGAGAAAGGCAGACTGCCCCTTATCTGACCACCGGGGGTATCCCATTGCAGCCATTCGATCGGGAAACTTGGAGGGTGTTCGTTCGATCGCGAATTATCGAGTGGGGCTCGCGAAATCAAACCCAGCCGGGCGTGTTCTAGATCTATCTTAGCTTTCTTGGCCTTTTTGGGCTGACGAATTGGACCAGGTTCCCCAGCCTACTGGAGCAAAGGCACCATTCGATGTCCTCTTCGGTTTCGCCGTGTTCCCCGGATGCGTTTCTCTCCGAACCCACAGATCTTCCCTTGGCCAGAACCTTTTCGGCCTTTGCGGAACGACGTGCGTTTTTGCGGCGTGCAACAATTCGCGACACCATAGCCCGGACTGTCAACCTCCCGTCGCAACCAAGCCACTCGTGGCATCGTCTGTTCTTCGCGTGGCTGAATCTGAACAGCATACGCCAAGCCCAGCCTTGCACGACAGCAGCGGCAGCGGCGGTGGTTGCGAATCCCGGGCCTAGAACGGACGAAATTTGTCGCTGTCGAATTCACAAGGTCGGAGGAGTACCCATGAGTGGGTAGAGCCTTCGATCATTGCTCGGGCCCGGACAGCGCCGAATCCATTCTCGGCGATCGAACCACCGACAAGACAGCCAGTTGGTTTTCTGATAATCGGCCTGAAAGCGCCGTTGCACCTTGTTTTGGTCGCGACAAGAAAGAATATGCCTCGGACGCGGCGATCCCGCTTCGACTCCGCCGTTCGGTCTACTTGAAGATGAGGATCGCGATCCGGGAACAGCTCGCAGCGGTCGTGATACTCGCCGTTGGGGTTGCCCTTGCCGTCGTTTCTATCCCCGTCTGGGTGTTTGTGAACAGTTTTGTGGCAGGTGTCGAGTCTGACGGCTTGTCCTTGACTGCTTCTCTCAAGGCCGCTAGGATCGCCTCTGAGATCAACCTGATCCAAACGGCCTGCCAAACCATCTCGACACGCTTGTTGTTACAGGATGCCTTCACCAAGTTCTACGCTTCCCAAGTTAACAACAGAACCGATGAGGACCCCTGGGAGGGAGCCCAGGACGACATTGAGAGCGCGCTCGCTCGTACCGGCTTCTCCGGCTTGCTGCAAGCTCGCCTGTACTCGCGAAACACGACCGGAGACTCAAGGGGCCTCTTCAGCATAACCGGTCATGGGGCCACGGAATCTGGCAGCATTTTGTTGCCGTACACGGCCCCCAATGGCTCCCAAGTACATCTCGGAGATCCCGAACATGGCTTCCCACCGTCACTCTATCCCAACATCACCTACCGCGACCTCGGCCGTCCCAGTGAGGTCATGCCCGACACCAATGCCTTCTCTGCCGCCGTGTTCCCGGGGGTTTCCTTAGGAAACGGCAGCGAGAAGGCGGGGGTCCTGCTTGGACCATTGGTTATCAACTCGACGTTTGCCCTCCTCTCCATCACCATTCCTGTCCGCGACGTGAAAAATAAGGACTATACTCTCGGCTACATGACGCTAGTCGCGAACTCAAAAACACTGGTCGAAGTTCAAACGTCCGTCGAAGGCCTGGGCAACACCGGAATTGTGCTGTTCGTTGGTTCCGTCAACCCCTGGAATCATTTTAGCGCTCCCGTGGCTGCAAGTAATAGGACTTGGGTGCCGCCACTCGAGGAATTCCGGGAACAGGAAGTACAATTTCTTCTCCCACCGCAGCCGGCAGCTGGCCAACGGGATCGACACAATCAACGAAGCTTTGGGTCTGGTAAGTACAGCGACGCATTCCCGCTGCATCAGTATCCGGCCGTGCTCAATGTCCTCAGTAGTCAAAACCCCAAGTATGTTAACACATCCCCCCTTTTACCTTCTTTTTGGCATCCGGTGGCTCCATGTAACCCCCGTGAGACCATGGTCGAGTATGAAATAGCTAACATCGCTGGGCAGCCCAAACAACGCCACCAGCAGGCTCTCGGCGAAGAATGAGCAAGGATACTCGGTAGCCGTAGGCGTTGCTCGACCGCAGAGCTCACTGGTGTCTTGGGCTATCGTGGTCGAAAAGGACCAGAGCGAGGCTTACCAGCCGATCCAGACACTCCGGAGCATCCTTTTAGGGTGTGTCTTTGGGACCCTCGGTCTAATTCTTTTGCTTGTCTTCCCATTTGCCCATTGGAGTGTCATGCCAATCAGGCGTTTGAGGATCGCCACCAAAAATTCCGTGGATCCCCCAGGCTACGAGGATGACGAAGACGACGTCTTTGATGAGGAGAACCCGAGCTCGGGTGGGACGACATCCGGGAGATCTTCTGAGAAGGGGATGCTGGCTAAGATCCGTCGAAAGATACGCAAACGACGCAAGGCTAAGCTACGAGAAGGCGTGGCGGTCGAGCCAGGGCGTCGTCAGTTCAAAATACCCGCCAAAGTCGAGGACGGGAAACATTACGTGACAGACGAATTGACGGAGCTCACCCAAACCTTCAACGAGATGACGGAGGAACTGCTCAAGCAGTACACATCCCTCGACGAAAAGGTGGCTGAACGGACAAAAGAGCTGGAGATCAGCAAGAAGGCTGCCGAAGCGGCCAACGAGAGCAAGACGCTTTTCATTGCCAACATTTCGCACGAGCTGAAAACGCCCCTCAATGGCATCATGGGCATGTGCGCGGTCTGCATGGAGGAGGAGGATGTACAGCGGATAAAACAGTCTCTCAAGACCGTCTACAAATCAGGCGATCTTTTGCTTCATCTCCTTGAAGACCTGCTGAGCTTTTCCAAGAACCAGATGGGACAGCAAGTCAGTCTTGAGGAGCGCGAGTTCCGCCTCGGCGACATTCGGTCGCACATTTTGGCCATTTTCGACAAGCAGGTTCATGAAAGCAAGACCGGTTTTACGGTGAGCTTCGTCTCTGATGCCAACCCCGGTATAGACAGGCGGTCCAGCATGGACAGGAGACTCCCAGCTTTGGGTCCCCCGGGGGTCGGCAGACTCAAGGACATGTGCCTTTGGGGTGATCACCACCGTATTCTCCAGGTCATCATCAACCTTGTCAGCAACAGTCTGAAATTTACGCCACCGGGAGGGAAGGTCAATCTGAGGATACGCTGCGTCGGGGAGGTGGAACAACCGAGCGACGATAGCAGGACGTCGTCGCTTTCTAAGACAGGCTCTAATCGGGCGGGCCGTACGCGGCACAGGATGGGGTCCGGATCGACGACCTCGGCAAGCTCCAAGGGTGGTCATATGCCGCTCTCATCGGTCAACGGAGGAACTGCCCTCTCCATCAACCCCATGGAAGTGAAAGCTGGTCCACATATCCACATCAGAGAACGCTCACCGACACCCCCGCCTCCGAATGCGAAGACATACCTTTTTGAGTTTGAAGTCGAGGACACAGGGCCTGGCATTCCTGGCCATATGCAGCAAAAGATCTTTGAGCCATTTGTCCAGGGTGACCTTGGGCTGAGCAAGAAGTATGGCGGGACCGGCCTTGGCTTGAGCATTTGCTCTCAACTTGCTACCCTGATGGGAGGCCATATCTCGCTCAAGAGTACGCCTGGCGTGGGGACGACCTTTACCATGCAGATTCCTCTCAAATACGTCAAGGATCGCACCTCTAGCACAGCGTCAAGCAGCATGAAATCCCGGCCGCCTAGTGTGGGCTCCACCGAGGGCGACGTGCGGAATTTGGTCCAGCGGACGTCTATAGAAATCCAGCATCAACCTCCCCCACCCACCGTACTTGACCAGCAGCCGCGACTTGTTGGCCTCAGTCAGCCATTTTTTGCGACGAACCCAAACCGCCGATTAAGCAAGGAGGACCAGCTGGCCGCAATCGACCGGGCCATGGCCAGCAAATCTGGCCAAGGGAAATTGCGGGTTTTGGTTGCTGATGACAACTCAACCAACATCGAGGTTGTCAGCAGGCTATTGAAACTGGAGGACGTGTACGATGTCACCATTGCCAGGGATGGCCGGGAGGCATATGACCTCGTCAAGGTCAACATGGAAAACAACCAGCACTTTGACGTTATCTTCATGGACATCCAAATGCCCAACTTGGATGGGCTCCAGTCGACACGCCTGATTCGAAAGATGGAGTATTCGGCTCCCATTGTCGCCTTGACTGCTTTCTCCGAAGAGAGCAACGTCAAAGAATGCATGGAGTCTGGCATGAACGAGTTCCTCAGCAAACCGATTCGCCGGCCGGCATTGAAGCAGGTCCTGGCTAAATTTGCAACCATACCGGAAGAGCCGGAGACATCAAGCTTGACGCGGAAAACAACGCCGGACAAGACGCCAGTGGGGACACCCGAGAAGGAGGCCAACGACCCCATTGCTAACGGCACTGTTGCGTCCAAGGCCAACGGGGTCCATCCTCCACCCATTATTTCTGCGGTGGACACATAGCACGCTTCGGGGTGCTACAGACCCCTGGTGGCACGAGATGTGCCCCTAAATGACCGGCCGTTCGGCGTGGGGCCTCGATTCCCTTTCTTTCTTTGTATATCTTATCTTTCTGGTTCCGTCTTTTTTTCACGTTTTCCTACTAGCCCAATAACCGGCTAGGCGTTGTGGGGGTTCAAAAACGGCACAGATTTGCTTTTTTGTCGGCGATGATAAATATGTCATCAACTTCTCTAAACCCGGGGCCATTTAAACGAGCGTGTTGGGGAGTATTTGGAACTGCTGCCCTCCCGGACGGAGGCGACAACAGAGCAGAGAAAGTTATTTATGGTGTGGGGACGCAGCGTAATATCGATCTTAGAAGGTAATGACAATCAGGTTGAATAAAACCACCGACTTACAGATTTAACATCTCCACAACATGCGCCCGGGATAATCAAGGTCCCGGCTTTAGTTTGGTTCCCGAGTCCACATTCCGAGGCCCCCGCACACCTCGTCCGGCCCGACGATCGGGGTAGCCCGGGAGAGTGGAGAGATGAGCATTGGGTAGGATGACACGGCTTCTCCAGTGTGTGTCATAGCTAGGCAGGTAGTTTGGATCGGCGAAGAAAAGACCACCACAACCCAGTCACTCCGCCGATGTTTCTCACCTCCAGACTTCGTCCATCCCTATCACTCCTGTCCCAAATCAGGAATATACTCAGTAAGTTGTCGGTCCTCCTCCTGACACATACCCCTCCAATATCCTCACTACATCGCCCCTGCTACCCTCTCTATCACCCCCCCAAAAAGCACTAACCAGTACCCAAGAACCACAACACCAAACCGCAACCCCAACCCCAACGCAAACCCGCAAGATGCGCATCCCCTACGTGCCCAACCCACCCGAGCCGTCCTCCGCCGAGGAGGCAGCCATCGTCTCGCGCATCCAAGCGCGGCGGGCGCCCCGGCCGCTGCAGCCGCTGGACCTGGCGCTGCTGCACGCGCCGGCGGTGGCGGACGGGTGGAACTCGTTTCTGGGGGCGGTGCGGACGCGCACGGGGCTGGCGGCGGACCTGCGCGAGATCGCCATCTCGCGCGTCGCCGTGGTCAACCGCGCCTGGTACGAGTGGGCGCACCACGCGCCGCTGGCCGAGCAGGGCGGCGTGAGCAAGCTGGGCATGGAGGCGGTCCGGCGCGAGGAGGAGCTTAGGCTCGAGGACCCCGTCCCGGAGGGCCTGACGGCCCAGCAGTGGGCCGTGGTTTGCTATGCCGAGGAGATGACGCGGAATGTGCAGGTGCGGGACGAGACGTTTGCGAAACTACGGGAGATGTTTGGGGAGAAGGAAATCGTGGAGATCACGGCGACGGTGGGTTCCATGCTTTCTGTGCCTGTTGTCATATTGGTGGTGACTAGTCGTATACTGATGGTGCTGTATAGGTTGCTTGCTACAATTGCGTAAGCCGCTTCTTGGTGGCTTTGGATGGTAAGTCCTGTCCTATCTATGTCTGGGCTGATATGTCTTTAGATGGTGGGCTGACACAGGAGTAGTCGGTGAGAAGAATGCACTGGGACCCGATGCGGCGCATTAGAAAATGATTAAGGCAAGACTATTAGCTATCAATGACCCATCGCCAGATTCAGCATTAGAAATACAGATCGGCCTCATGGCCAGTTCGACCCAAGACCGCCCGGCGCCGAACGCCGCTTAGTAGTGATGATATGCATATCCGCCATGATCTGTACGGGTGTTCATTCGGACGTAAGTAGAGAAAAGACAGGTGTAGGGGCAGCAGGGATGTATGTAGAGTAATTAAATACATAGCTATCGTGAAAGGGATAGGGGTATCTCTGGTGAAGTGACAAAACTCGATACAGAATCGTGGTCGCCAGAAAAGCAAATGCATCGTCCATCCTCTTTTTGCAATCCAACAAGACCCTTATCATGCAAACATAATGCACTGGAGTCGTAAACACGTAGCGTCATGGGCGTCATCGTCTCGTTAGTAGTCGTGCCTCCTCAGGAGGGCAGCGGGGGCGTTCGGATCTTCGGTCGTCCAGCGCACCGAGGGAAGGCAAGGGGATCGGCCACCTTCATGGTGATCGTGACATGGCCAACTCGATACTTGCATGCCTTTCCCGGAGAAGTGGGCTCTTTTGCAGCTCCAACACCACTCCGGCCCAGCCCTTGCGATGAGTCCCTTCAAGACTCTCTTGGTGTCCCGGCGTTTGAACGGTCAATCGCCGTAGTGGGGGCTTCGACTTGATACCGTCGACCAGGGCTTTTGGTAGGCCCGGCCGTGGTGTAAGTGGAACGGCCACGGACTTCTCCGGGTCCCGTGGGCCGGAATCCTTCTTTGTGGCCGCCTCGGTTGCCGTGCCGGCGATAATGCCCATATGGACAACGAGAAAGCGCATCCTGAGCAAATCGAGCCGTCGCACCTTTTCCTCCAGCCTCAACCGGTGGCTCGCCCACCACATGCGAGCACTGATTTGCAGGTGGGGTTCATCCCCTCCAACCACCAAAGCGTTCAATTCCTCTCGCAGCGCATCTCCCCCTCTCTGAATATCCCGCAGGAGCCGGCTTAGCCGGAGTTTGTCCTCTACCCGCTGGAGCTTTGTGATATCGCGATCGTATGACTCGTTTTCGGCGATGGAACTGTCGATGACATCCAGGAAGGTGGAAACCTCGCTCGGCGCATCCCGGTATGCCTTTGCAAAACGGTTGGCGACCTGGGCGAGCACGGCCAGGGAGAGGAGAAGAGCGGTGAGGGAGAGGACAAGGATCCACTGCCAGGAGGTCGATTCGGTCATGATAGAGAGCCTGGGAGCTTCGTTTAGGCATAGCAGCCTGTAGCAAGTGGCCGACGCTGCTGCTGCTCAATAAGAATAGATCGCATGTCTGGGGTTTTGTGTGTCCACGAGTGGTTTCACCCCTGCATTCCGATGCAGGGCAAGAAGTAGTGTATGAAGCTAGTGTAAGGAACCAGCCACCGGAAGGGACCTGTTGAATTCGCCCCTCACTAACTAACAGCCGCTGTGACTAAATTGGCCGCCCGCGGCAGCACTCGCCGGACAGGGGTCTCGGCGACAGCGGCATCGCAAGCGGGCAGCCACCACTTTTTCCTTGTTTGCATCAGCATCTGGGTAATCCAACAATATGTGTCTTGAATGGAAGGTGGTGGAGAGGTGTAGAAGGCACTTGCACTTTACCGTGTTAGCTACTTGACTTTGGAACACCTTTTCTATTCGGACTTGAATGAAGCGCCGCCATTGCCACCTATCTTGTGTAACGGCGGGGTAGGTATTCAGACATGCTGCGGGGTATGAGCGCCAGCTGAGGGTATTGGGATTCCGCGAATATGAGGAATTTGAGACAAGTTGGGAGATGACAGTTGGAGAAAGAAGGTTGAGTCCGGATGGAAAAGCCTTTTATCAAGTTGCCCATTTTTTGGGAGCCGCATTATGCGCCGCGAGTTGTGAAATTAGGTACCTACACACCATTGCCGTGGTTGCCGCCTAGCACCACTGTCTGCCACAGCGGAGGCGGGTATCCCACTTTCTGCGGGGTCTTTTTGAAGGGCAGGACATGAATCCGACCATTTGGCACCAATCGGCTGCATCATTCGTGGTAGAAACATCAAACCTGGCATGGCCATCCAATAACTCGAACCACGCCCCCGATCACGTCCGGTCATTTCTCTGAGACCTCCCACCCTGATCATGGCGGCCGCCGACGACGCGCAGTTCCCCCCGCCAAAAGTCCTCACCTACCCCGCGTCAACCCCGCCAACGTTGATCACACAGGGCGCCGAGGGCCGCCTCTACAAGACGACACACCTCACGCGCGACCGGCCATGCGCGCTCAAATATCGCCCGCCGAAGCCCTACCGCCACCCGGTTCTCGATGCGCGGCTGACCAAGGCGCGCCTCTCCTCGGAAGCCAAGGTCCTTGAGAGATGCTGGCGCGAGGGCGTGCCCGTCCCCGCGGTCTACGCCATGGACCCCGCGGCCGGGTGGATGATGATGGAGTGGATCGAGGGTATTCCCGTGAGGGTGGGAATCAACGAGTGGCTTGGCGATAGGCCTGAAGAAGGCGCAGAAATACCCCAGGTGGCGGACGAGACGCCTATTGTCGACCTGATGAAGCGGATTGGCGCTGCCATCGGAGCTTTGCACAAGACCGGGGTGGTGCATGGGGACTTGACGACGAGCAACATGATGTTGAGGCCAAGGGGATTCAACCCAGTTGATGGAGCCCCCGGGGACGAGGGCAAGGCAGGATCGGTTGAGGGGGATGTGGTTCTCATTGACTTCGGGCTGGCAACGCAAAGCATGTCTGACGAGGATAGGGCCGTCGATCTCTACGTGCTCGAGAGAGCGTTCGCGAGCACACATCCAAGAGCCGAGAGGCTGTTTGCCACTTTACTAGAGTCTTACAAATCCACATTCAAAAAGGCATCCTCAGTGTTGATAAAACTGGAGGATGTCAGGATGCGTGGGCGTAAGAGGAGCATGCTGGGGTAGTGAAAGAGGCGAAAAGACAGCTAATATTCAAGATCTCGACACAGCAGAAAATATCTCGCTTGATTCATGTGTATGCATGCTGTCTGTGAAATGCAAATGCAACGCTTAGGCGGTCGATATCAGATCCAAATTTCGATTCCAAAAACCAGGATGTCGAAGGCCCGCCTTTAACCCAAACTCCTCGACTATGTGCCGCCTGCCTAGCAACCCCAGTCGCTTATTCGTTTACCAGTTGGGCGCCTGCAAAGTAGCCCTTGTTCTCAATTACTCCCCGGTCCCGGACGACAGCCGTGTACTTTATCACCCATTCCGGGGTGAGATCTCCCTGCAGCCCGCCGGCGCCCGTCCCCGGGTCGGCGAGCAGTCCGGCCCCACCTAGGCCTTGTCCAAGAAGCTCCCTCAACGTCCCCTTGGGAAGGATATCGGTGCAGTCGCTGTGTACTAACAGATCGATATTCTGTTCCTTTGCCAGCTTCGCCAGCGGCGGCGGGACATTACAACAGTTCTTGAGGTTGATCTGGTTGACCGCGGGCCGAATTTGGACCTCCTGGAGAAAGTGAGAAAGCTTCTCGCTGCCGAATTCGGCCAGGCCAAGTCGTTTTGCGAGCCCAGCACGATGAAGTTCTTCAACGGCCGGCCACGTCGCGATTTCATCCACGTCACTGCCCTGGGTTGCGTTTTTCCTGTCGGCTTCCCACTCGCAGTCGCCCTCGAAGGACATGCCCGGAAAGGAGACGATGAGCAGGTCCACAGACGGAGCCCGTAACTCCCTCAATACGTGTTCCAGCGCTTCCTTTGCATATTGCGACCGCTGTGACACAGGCGCGCCAGGGAGAAAGAAGAGCTTGGCTGTGATGTCGTATTGCGCAGGCTCCTCCTGTAGGCCATGGTCTCCTTGATCAATTGCGGGCACGTACAATACTCCATCTTTCTCCGCCGTCCAGAGCGATGTGGGCGGGCGCCCGCCGGTCTCGAGGTGGAGGTTGACACCATTAGCGCTGCCGTTGCCGGTACCGTTTGCGACACCGTTACCATGGGCTATTTCGACCGCATTGTCTCCTTGCGCAGCAAGGAAGTTGCTTCGCAGCGAATTCGTAAGTTCAAGATTGGATCGGAATGCGCCGGGTTTGCGGATGATGGAGGGGCCGCCTGAGACGATGTTCCTGCAATGGCAATCAACCAGTCAGCACGGGTCGCGACGGGGGGTCAAGTGTGAGGTACCCGGTGCTCAGGATTAACTTGGCCATGATTGGTATATGCCTACAGTTGATAGGTAGGTATATACAGACGGGTGATGCGCTATGTAAACTATTCCTCGGTCATGCGCAAAGGAGAGAAATTTCGAGTGGTAAGCGCCGCCCTTCCTCGGTGGGGTTGGACGTTCAGAGCGTTGCCAGTAATTAATAATGATTCATGAGAGCCCCGCCTCCCTCAGGTCAGCTTGCCCGCGGCGCGTTAGACAGCACGGAACCAGGGGCCACAGAACGTGTATCGCGGGTGCTCCAGAGTGGTTTAAGGCACTGCGAGGCTGGGGTAGATTGGCTGAGGTACAGATCGGACGAAATATGTAACCAGGTCCTCCCACTTGAAGGTCACTCTCACTCTAAATACTCTAAATGCGAACCGCGGGATGACCAACCGAGATGATTTGATATTGACCACCGTCTAATCGGATGTTTACTGAGCGTGGGGAGGTCCAGGCGGGCAGTTCTCGGGCACTCCGTGGCCGCCTTCGCGGCTCAATCAACATCCGATGGAGACTTTGAGCCCGAACCCCAGCCAGGGAAGCGGTAGCATTGTGAGGTGCCGTCGTTGAGAACGGCCGAGCACGGCTTTTGAAAGTTAACAGAGCGGGTCCAATTCCATCCGCAGTATACTGGCGAGATTTGAATTTTGCCGTCGTTTGCGCTTTCTTTCAACTTGCAAGTGGAAGAGATGGAGACGTTGAGTGGAAGAATTGGGTTGCACCGTTGGCAGGTAGGTGATTCGAGCTCGTTCAGGTGCCCGGCCCTGCCCCCTCAGACCCCGCCAACAGAGGGCCCGTGCGCTAAAATTAATCCGTTCCTCAGGCCTCAAGGGGAAATGTCGTGGCCGACCTGTGAATTGAGCAGCACAATGCACTGACGACGAGCCCGGTCATTGAGCTCACTCCCCACCTCCACCGCCCGACGTTCAACTGCCAGAGAAGGGTGGCTTCCTTCCTTCATCATGGCTATCAAGTAAGGTCGCAATCCGCATCCGGTTACTTGCTCAAGCTAATTGGAATGATGGCAGCTACCTAATTCTCCTTTCTCGGCAAGGCAAAGTGGTCAGTCCATTTGTCCTTTTCTCGGTCGACTGCAACGAAGCTCACTCAATCACAGCGCTTGGCCAAATGGTTTACCACGTTGTCCCCCAAGGACAAGGCCAAAATTGTCAAGGACGTCTCACAGCTCGTTCTAGCGAGGCGGACGCGGATGTGCAACTTCCTCGAGTATAAGGGCAGGTGCCTCTCGAATGTTGCATCTTCGCCCGCTGGCTAACTTGGTTGCTAGACACCAAAATCGTCTACCGCCGATATGCGTCGCTATTCTTTATCGCCGGTTGCTCCTCCGAGGACAACGAACTGATCACGCTCGAAATTATCCACCGCTATGTCGAACAAATGGACAAGTACTACGGCAATGTCTGCGAGCTCGACATCATCTTTTCTTTCACCAAAGCTTATTATATCTTGGACGAGCTCCTGCTGGCCGGCGAGCTGCAGGAGAGCAGCAAGAAGAACGTTTTGCGGTGCATATCCCAACAGGATGCGTTGGAGGACATGGAGGTGGGTGCCCCTTCCCCGCTGCTCACTTTTTCTCCTCGCAGAAGCGATTCTTTTTCGTCATTTAGTGGCTGTGGCGCTGACGTGCCGTCTTTCCCACTCAGGTCGAGGACGAGGTGACAAAGATCATGTAACGGAACAGCGACGCTGGACCCTTACCGATCTCTTTACTCTCCTCGACGATGGCTACTTGAACGCGGCGGTAGAAGTGGACGTTAGCTGGCGCAGTAACTAATTCCAATTGGAACTTACAACACAGGCAGATGAGCAGATCGAGAGCATATTGAAAGAGGGGGGGTTTCTGTGAGCGGCAGTTGCATACCGTTCTCACGAACACACCGGCCGAACGCGGCAGGTTACGGTTACGGTGTTACACGGCGTTGCGGTCATTCCAGGCGTTATGGAGTCAAGCGGAGCTGCAACATCTTCGGGGGCGTTGTTGTCCACGGCAGACAGTGCTACATATTGGACTACATTTACCCATCAGGAGGGAGCAAACTCCTTTCGCAGCATTCTCAGAATCTAGATATGGGAATTGTAGATAGAAATCACCAGTGTTCGGCCTAGCACGGCCGTGCAGCATTGTATTACCCTCACAAACACCGCAGGCAAGTCACTGGCAAGACCAACGATCGAGGCTGCGATGTGTGTGCTTCGACCCCCCTCCCCACATCCGGAAGCGCCACACAATCCTGCCAGTCCAAGGGCGTCCTGGTCGCACAACCAACACCATGTGGATGATTGGGATGATTACAAGCCATGGCTTGAGCTCTGCAGATGCTCGTGATGGCATTCGGAGATGCCTCGTGGGGTTTCCCGGCTATCTCATTCGCTTACCTAGCAGCATCAGCCGGGAGCGGTGCGGCGGAGCTCTCGGGATAAAGGGGTTGCGGCGGAAGACGAATGCCGATCGTTTTACCCCGTGTTCCTCCCGAAACCGGGATTTGCGCTACAGGCCCGGCCAAGGCCATGAGTGGGTAGAAAATGACGATGATGCAACACGAGACAACAGTCGCAATGAGGGCGATTGCCGACTCTCTACCGATTTACCGCCAACTGTCGCAAACCCATTCGACTGGTTCGAGTCGTCGCTGTCTCCTGTCAATCCCGCTATCACCCCTTCTTTTAGACATCGATAGGCCAAGAACCGTCCACGAGCCGGGAGCATCTCGGCACTCACCCCACGCCCCAGGCTTTGTTCACTCCGTTTGGCTCAAGTATTACAGCCAAGCTTGCGTACCCCCGCTGTTCCCGGTTTCTCACCAAACATCCCTCTACCCATCACGACTGCTTCAATAAACTCCAAAACACCCCGCAAACTCACGGCGTCGCGGGTGTCACTTGGAGATCCCCCGTTGGTCTGACACATCGTCCCGACTACTTGGTGTTTCTTCCGGCACACTCCCTCAGTAGCGACGCTCCACATCACCGACGTCACTGCCCATGCTTTGAATGCCAACTGTCACCCCACAACGACTTAACAAAGGGCACTTGGGCTTGACGGTAAGATGAAGGTATCAACTACACCTTCGGCCCACACGCATGGCCCGTCGTGCTTATGGATGAGACTCTATTAGTACCTATCACTTCCATCATTTGACGCAGTGACGAGCGCGCTCAATTTCGACACGCCAGACTGCCATGTCACCGGCAGCTGCGACCTCTACACAACCAAGGCCGCTGGTTCCGATAAGAAGCTATATAAAAACATTCAGCAATCGCTGGAGTCGCAACATGCCGCCCTTCTCAAATTCGGGGCGTCCCTGTCGCCGCCCCAGCGCGATTCCATGGCCGCGAGCCTTAATCTAAGCCGCTCGTCGCCGTTCGGATCGTTGGAGGAGATGTCAAACCGGCGCACATTTGCCTACCTGATCGCGACCCTGAATGCGTCACACCCAGACTACGACTTCTCGCACGTCCTCCGACCGGCCGACTTCAAGCGCGAGCGCGTGCTGCGCCGCGTCATGGGACAGATCGATAGCACGCTGAGCAGCGTGCGGCCCAACTCGACCCTCCTCGATGTTGCCGCGCCGCGCAGCTCTCCCGCGAAGCCAACCGACTTTAACACGGGTATCTCGAACGCGCCGGCATGGGGCCCGCAGATGTGGGCTATGGTCGACAAGGAGATGATGCTCAAGGACTGCACCGTCTTCTCGTACCAGCCCGCCGACGACCCGTTCGACGAGGAGGAGGGCGCCATCTGGGCGCTGCATTACTTCTTCTTCAACAAGGCGCTCAAGCGCGTGTGCTACCTCTACGTGCGGGGCGTGCCCGTCATGAGCCACAGCCCGCGGATGACGGCGCACACGGCCATAGCGCGGAACATTCACAGCCTGTCGACCTACAGCGACGACGACATGAACGACAACGACATGAGCGATGACGTGGGCGCGAACAAGCGCGCACGGTACTGGCTCGGGGACAAGTTCGCCGAGCGCATCACGGCGAGTGATGACGAGTTGGACGACGGGTTGGTGTGGAATCGCGACGCAGACGGCGATGTCAATTTCCAATACGACGTAGAGGACGACGACAGTTTCCCTGGAGACGAAGAGCGTGAGGGAGACCAGAGCTATGGAGATTGGAGGAGGAGCAAGAGCCCAGTGAGAGGGGTTAGCGAGGATATTGCTTCGAGAATGGAGCTCGACGTTTGAAACAACAACTCTGCTCCGGATTCGCCACTCGGTTCGTTTTTCTTTTTTGGCTTGGCTTGGCTTTCCTTTACTCGGCCCAATTATAAAGGGTGGGCCCCTTGATTTCAACAGTTTCTTTCCCTTTTGTTTGTTTCATCTGTCGACATTTTTGTGGATTTCCATAGGCCGGCTTCCGGGAGGTTGTATTGAGTATGTACTGGACCGGACGGGAGGTACGGGACGGCTTATTTGAAGGGCAGGGGGCACGGAGCATTAGGTTGGGGAGGGGGGCGCCTGGTCAGGTTCATCACCGGTCAGGCAGGACGGGAGGCAGCTGGTATATATGTTTTGGGCGCGTACCAGGCGGCATCGGTTTTTTGTTTGGCTCCTTGAGGCTTTGGTTCCAGGTCGGTGAGAGGGACACTGTGGATCGGAGTTCCTGGAGCGTCTTGTATGGTTGGTTTTTTGCCTGCATCCTATGAAGTGATGACTTACGCAGGAGGCGGATGTTATTGGCCTAGTTCAATATCGCTGTTTAATCAATGTTACTTCACACTGCAAGAATACTTTTTGATCGAATAGCTTGCGTTATCTGTGTTCCAGTTTGATCTGGGATGAGTAGCCTTTCCAATAATACGACGTGGATGGTAGAAGTCGGGAACGGGCTAGCACCACGAAGCCGGGGTATCACCACAGAAGTCGGGAAATGAGGTGATTCGAAGGAGACAACAACACAAACAAATAAAAAGTCCAACCGGCAAAATCAGGCCAGGGGAGGGGTAAAACCGTACATAAACAAGCATGGTGACCACATCCCTTCCTTCCGTCATCATCGCAAACGCATCCCCAAACACCATACCTTGCCACCCCCTTCCCTCCCAATCCATCCCTTTCCCTGACAACCCACAGCCCCGGCCTGGCTTCCATCCAACCCATCCAACCTAATAACTAGACCGTCATTTAAACCATGGGACATGAGCCAGGCTGGTCCGGTGCGGTATGGGTATGGTATGGTACGGTATGACCATCATGCTTGTTCCACGAAGATTGGTATAAAAAGAGGATCTCATGTCTCAGGGGGTTGCGATCCCTTCGCCCCGGCCCCACCGTCCGTCCCGTCATTTATCATGCATCTCCGTTCTTCTTCTCGTTGGCCTTGCTGTCCCCGGCCGCCTTGGTTTCCGACTGCTGTTGCGGCGGCGTCGACGAATTAGCGTCCGCCGCCTTCTCCTCTGAGTCACTCTCCTTAGATGTGCCCTTGGAGACCTGGCTGACGAGGTCGTTATCTTCCTCCGAGTTGTCAAACATCTCAGCGTCGTCCGAATCGGTCAGAACCTCGGTGCCGTCGCCGAGGAAAATGACGCGCCCCCTATAGCCGCCAATTCCAAAGCTCTTGCCCTGTTTTTGGTCCTCCACGTCGTAAGCGCTGTCGCTCTCGTCGAAACCGTGGTGCACACCCGGGCCCCGGAATTCGGCTAGAACGGACGAGAGGCAGAGATTAGCGACCTGACTAATTAACCATAGAGAGATCCAGCAACCCCACAGGGCAAGCGGCGGGTACGAACACACCAGGCAAAGCAGAGGTCGGGAAGCGACAGGGAGGAAAGGCAGGTAGGTATATAGGGCTGATAGAAAAGGGAGGGAAAAAAAACAGATGACAGGCGTGCTTCAAGGGGATGGCGTATCCCTACCATATTCGGGAGGAGCACAAGGGCCATCTCCATTAGCAACCCGTTTGGCTATCTCCTCGTACCACTCCTCCTTGGTCCGGCCCCTGAGGAATCCAATGATGATCATGGTCATGTTATCACAACCCACGCCGCCCGTTTCCGAGTTGGACGCTAAACAATTGTCCATCATGTTTTCGCAGATCTTGTCCAAGTCTTGCTTGGCGGCAACCCCACGCCTGACAAACTCGATCACGGCTTGAGACGACTGGCAATCCCAGATACCTAGCAAGATGTGTTAACCCCCGCATGCTGTGCTGCGGACCTCTGCAAACTCACCATCGCAAGCAACAACGAGAAACTCGTCGTCGTCACTGATTTCGTGGACCACAACATCGGGATAGGCTGTGACGATTTGTTGCTCGGGTGCCAGCTCGGCACTCTTCTTAAATTCGAAATCACCGATCGCTCTCGACAGAGCGAGGTTTCCGTTCACGCGGCCGAAGTCGACAAATCCGCCCGCAGCTGTGATCCGTGCCTTCTCGCCTACAACCCCGCAGCGCATCCGGTCAGCAACGAGGCGCTCAAATCTCAGACGAAGGGCGCGGCCGACGCACCTTCATTTTGTGGCTTGTGGTCGAATGACAAGGGTTTCGCTCGGCCCTTGACGCCCAGCACGCTTCTGGAGTCGCCGGCATTTGCCTGTTGGAGTCGAGTTGTGGTTAGCAGAGTGGGGGTTGCGCGGGGGCAGGCAGCAGGGGGTGTGGGGGAAATTGTGCGAGAAAACCAACAATGTAGATTTTGTCGTCGGTGATCAGTCCGACGCAAGCTGTGCAGCCTGAGACTTCATCTTCGTACTTGGGGTCTGCTCAAAAAAAATCGGATCAGTGGTTGGTGTCCAAGCAACAGAATATCCGGTGGTGGTGAGGGGCCGCCCGCGATGGACCCTGGCCCTACCACCCCGACCTTGTCTACCGGGACCACCGGGCACTATCATACCGTTGAGAATGGCTCTGTCTGTCGCCAGGAAACCGTCCTTTAGAGCTTGTTCGTAGTTGCCCGCCTTGAACGTGTCTTGCTTCGCAACAATGCGGTGGATATTATCGCCGGCGAAAAGCGCAACGTTGCTGCCGCCATGACCGTCGTAGACGCCGAAGAAGGAAAGTTGGGAGGCATGCTCTTTGGCGGCCTTCGGGTTGTCCTCAAGCAGGTCGAGTTCCGCCGTGTGTGCATCCTCCATGCTTATGCGCCAGCCCTGCATGGCCGACAGGCCGTAAAAAAGCCGTTTATCGCCGCCATTCGCCGATGTCTAGAACAGGAGCACCATTTCCGTCAGCAGCCATTTCGACCCGAGAATGAGTTGAAGAATCTAGTGCAAGCCTTGGAGAACGGCATCGCTGGCGCGGCCCGAGAAACAGCGGCGCAAATGCAAAACCGGTGGCAGAGAAAATCGGCCGAGCAGCGAGGCATGTGAGCAGCGCGGGTCCTGGGGAGGGGCAACCGAGCAACTACGGCGCGCGATCCGAGCACAACGCCGACCGACATGGCAGACGCCGAGGCTCGCTCTCCTGGCAACGAGAACACATACCTTCTCGACAACGGGCTCAGAGAGTGTCTGGCCCATGGTGATGTGGTGTCGAAATGCGATTCGGCAGCAGCGCGGCTACCAGTGGGGTGGAGGGGTGGTTTTGTCGTGGAAGTGGGCAGAGAAGGGGGGTGGCAGGCAGCGAAGGACCCAAGATGAAATTTTCTCGGCGGGCGTGCGAGTTTCTGATGACGTTGAATCAGATGTATTGGTTAGGCCCGAAGCAAATTCGACGTGTTGTGGTGCGACCCCGCCAAAGACTCTTCTCGCCCTTTTTTGTGCCTTGGATTTCCCTTTCGCTGCCGGTGCCGGGTCACTGGGCGGTTTGTGTTGCTCGTGCACGGAGTAAATTTGGGTGCCCAGGCGGTGGTGGAGCGGGGTTTGGCGCGGGCGTGCCTGCGAAGTGCTCGTTTTGGCGTGGCAGCCAAGGGGGACTGTGCAGCTGACAGACAAGGCGGACGCAGATGAGTCGTCACCAAAGCTTCCTCCGCCCCTTTGTAACAACCAAATTCTTGATTCCTAATTCGTGATTAGGGTAAGTAACCCAGAACAGTTGACAAAACGGTGGGAAACAGCTTGAGGGTTGGTGGAGCTGGTCAATTGTTGAAGTGAGGCTACGTAGGTACCCAGATAGGTAGGTATTTGGGTGGACTGATCGCTTGCTTGTGAAGATGTGAGTTCGGAAGCAGGGCTGCGACAAATGTTGTGTCGGGTACATTACGCGTAACTCTGTGTACATGCACGCATATCCTTCTTTGTGGCTGCTATCTGTATGTAGGTACGTAGGTTGGCACATAGGACCTAGGGAGGCTCTGTGTAGGTGCACATAAAGGACCTCCTTGCATTCCGAACCTCGATCTTGCTTTGCCGTCCGTACAGGAAGCCAAGACGGCGAGATCCCGTGTTCTCGCGTGATCGCTGTCAAGTCCCCGGGCCCAGCTCCAGCCAACGGTCTGGCCTCTTGTCCCCTTGCCATTTTGGGCCACCACAGTGCGCCGAGAATGCGGGGGGTAATGCTGAGACCTTTTGGTGCAATCTTACCTACCCTAGGAAGCGGGCCAGTAAGGTTGTTTTCACCGTGTCGATACAAACAACACCATTTTGGGGCCATTTTTCGACCAATACAGTACAAATTACAATGTCACTCGATTCGATGTCCAAAAATTACACATAAAGCAAGACGATTTCCAGTTCGCTGTTTTGCTCCATTATATGCTGCCCATTATCCTTAATTTGCCACACTACGTATCGGAAACCTCAAATCAAAAAATCTATCTGACTCGCATCCAAGTCTCGTCATATGAACACGGCATAATCCGACCTACTCCCTGCTGACCGTAAAGAAACTCCGTTAGACTGACTTTTCCGTGTCAACCCCGACCTTTCCTGCATCTTCTCTTCTCCTGGCCGAACTGTCGGAGCAATCCCCTGAGAGGAGGGCCCAACCGATGCCTCCACTGCAACCCCCTGGCCTTCTTTCTCTTCATCTTCGCCCCCTTCCTCCCTCTCAGGCATTCTCGCCGAAGACGCAATTTCCGGTAACTTCATCGATGTAGCCGTATCGCGGCTTGTGACGGCGGGCGATTCCTGGAATACCGTCCAGTTCTGTTGCGGCTGGGACGTGGATCGACTTAAGGCCAGGCTCTCGACCGTCTCATCCGCCCACTCGTCTGCGGTGGGGACTGTCGACCACGTCCTGGACGGACGGAAAAGGTTGTTGCCCGTGGCGCCGTCGTAAATATCCAGAGAACCAGTAGGGGCCCCCTCGCGGATTGAAAAGCCGGACGTGGGGTCATCGTCCACGTCGAGAAGGCTCGGGATCGGAGTCGGTAAGGTGGTTGTCGTATCACTTGTGTGCAGTGGTTCTGTGCCCAGGTGCCCGCGGGCTCCGCTCCCGATTGGCCCGGTCCTAGTCGGCGGCCGGCTGAGGGGGGCTCGGCGAGGAAACTGCGGGAGTGGGAGTGTCTCTGGCCCTAGGGCCGCCACCCCGTTTGGATCGTTCTCTTGCATGGTCAGGGTAGTTGATGATGGCTGTTCGGTAACCTCGGAAGTGAATGTGTCAACCGCCAGCAAGCTAGGTTGCTCGCTCAACCTTTGCATTCCTAGCACAAGTTTGGTGCCGTACCGTTTCCCCTTGATTCCTTTGAGCCATGGCCAGGACAGTTTCCGAGCCGCCGGCGCAATTGGGTGATATGGCGCCCTTGAGTCTAACCTGAGGGGCACCACGGCCATCTCTGGAGCCGTTTGAGATGAACCGGGCCGATGATTTGAGGCGGTCTCTGTGGGTGATGGCGAAGCCGTATATGGCAAACCAGGGGTTTGTAGAAATTCGGGCACGTTGATTTCGATTCTGTCCCTGAATGTCTGCCGACTGTCACTCCCAACCGACTCGAGCCCACGAGAATCGACCAGGTCGCCAATACTTTTCTCGGTAATGGAACTTAGTGAGCTGTTAACTTTACCTCGTGTCCCCGAACGCAATGTGCTCAAAGCTCCACTGACAATGGCCGGAAGACTGACGCCTTCTTCTGAATTACCAGACTCAGGGGCAGGTTTGTTGCGAGACGGAAGTGATTTTACCCCTCCTCCTGGCCGAGAAAGTTCCGGTCTTGTCAGAAAGACGGTTCGTGAATTGAAATAACCCTTCTTTTCGGACCCGAAAACGTCATCGGCCGAAAAGCTCTTGCCGAAGCCTTTTGAGAGGTCCGGGAGGGAGTGAGAAGTATGCGGGCCATCAGACTTTGTCACAAAGTTCCCAGGGAGAGGGCCTGATATGTCACGGGTGCTGAGAGCGGGCTTCCTGGGATTCTTTCGTCGACGGAAGTACCAGAAAAGTGCGCAGACAGCCAAGGAAAGCAGGAGCAGAAGCGGGAGAAGAACCGCCAACAGCACCGGGTTGAAGTTGCTACTAGTTGACGTGGAATTTGCGGATGTTGGCCCGTTGCCGCTCGACGCACGGCGGATAACCACCTCAAAGGATAGGGAAGCTGACTTCCTGGACTTCTTCGACTTGGCCATAATTTTGACGGCAACCGAGGAATCTCCTAACCCCTCCGGAACATCGCCAAAGAGAGTGATCGAGCCAGGATCAAACTGAACCCAGGGAGAGTTAGGGTCTGTCTCAAGAGAAACCTCCCTGTCGCGAGGATTCAGCAAATATGGCCGAAGGTTAAAGGAGAACGGTTCGCCAGCGGTGAGAGCAAGCTTGGGGGGCCGGGTGGTGAATATGTTGGACTCGCTACTCGCTACGTCAACCAAAACCGTCAAATTCAGGTTATTGGAAAACGTATCTCGTAGTGTAATAATGAAGTTGGCGGACTTTGCAGCACTGGGCGGAACGCCAGTCAGGTGCCAGGTGTTTTTGTCGAAAGTAAGCCAGTCAGGGATATTAGGCGTGGCAACAATCACCACACTACCGGGAGCTGCGAGTTTTCCATCAACCTTGACAGTGCTTCTTAGTCCAGCATAAGATAGCAAGGCCCCGCGTGTGGTATTCAAGACAACGGTGGTTTTGTCCGCAGCGAGCTGGTGACTCCCAACGACAATGTCAAAATCCAGAGCTGCTCCTGCGAAGCCGACCACATCGGTTGCGATTGCTCGAAAGGAAAAGTGTTGCGGAGACTGCACGAGGGAATCCGCCGGCGGCGTTTGACCAGTGAAGGAGAGACTGTGCGAGTCGAAGGATACCCAAGCCGGGAGTGGTGTATTGTCGGCCATGGTGGCATAGTAGTTGAGAACGGCGCCAGGGGGGTTGGAAAACGTATTCGGATCGAGTTTGAACGAGAAGCTCTTCCCCGGTGTGGATAGAATAGCTGATGGGCTAGAAAACGTGCCGAAATCGGGGGCTTGATTCTGAAGGGGGATCTTTACTCTGGGGCCGGGACTCGCTGAGACCACGAGGGTCGCAGCGAGTGTTGTTGACCCAGAGTCATCTGTGGCCACCAGATTCAGGGGCACGCCGCTCGCAACCCCCGGTACAATGTCGTCTTGCTTGGGAGTCCCAAACAACCGCCGTGCATCACTGTCGATGGAAAGCCACGCAGGAGGATTGGAAAGGGCGTAAGTCATCGGAGAGCCGGACGAGAATGTGGATGGCGAGAAGACGAAGGAGAATGGCCCCCCCAGCCTGGCGACGGGAGGAACCTGGGAGTTGATTGGGAACGATATCACAGGACTCGAGATGGAGAGCGCGGGGAGAAGAAGCAAGGCTGTTGCCCAGATCATAACCGGTGGAGCCATGGTAGAAATCCAGGAGGCTTCACTGGTGTTTCGAGGAGGATTCAATCACCGCTGTGTGATGAATATAATCAAGGAGAGAACATCGATGAGAGTGGGCAAGCTAGCAGGCGGGGATGTAAAAGGCGCGATCTAGAGAACGTGTTCCTGAATCACTGCAAAACTGAACCTTCAAAAGGTGGCTGACGTCGGCGCTCAACCGCTGGAGTTGTCCCTTGGCTCTCTGTTCATGATCATCGCAATGCGAGATTGTCAAGGGAGGGCGGATATCCAGCCATTAAACCGTTGCCCTTACACACCCTCCCTTCTCCGGAAAAGAGGACGAAAGAAAGGGCGGCGACGCCATGGCCAATTATTTGAACAGAACATCGCGAGGCGGGGTTGGCTCGACCAAGAGCATTCCACGAGAATATGCGGGCAATGGAGAAGAAGGGAGGCGGGGGATGAGCATGATGATGATGGGTGCCAGGTGAACAGTCGATGTCTCACTAGGGAGATTCCTCCGTGCCTGTGAACAGTTACTACTGCCCGGTATCACGTTAACTCTCCGGGAAAGAAGTAGGATGGAAATAAAACTCAAGGAGTGTGCATTATCCGCGCTGTTTGTTGGTGCTGGCCACGATTCGATGCTTCATGTCGTATTTTCGGCAAACGGAAATGCAGCCAGTCGGAGGCAGCGGCGAGGGTCACGATAGTGAGAGTGGAGGTGGGAGTCACCGACTCTCGGTGGCGGCGGGTCGGACTTGGTAGGCACGCTCGCACGCAGACCAGACGCAGCCCAACCTGCAATCTTGAAAATTTCCCACCTTCTCGATTCTATTCCCAACAACCGACTCAAAATCACACAATGTCCGAGCAGGAGATATCGTCATCGCCCGAATTCTCCCCTCTTGCCTTTGGCGAGGACCTGGCACCGCTACCGGAATACAAGGAAGCGGGAACCACACAAGTGGATTTTTCAGGACTCCTTGACGAGCCCCTCAAGCTCCACGAAGACCTCAAGTCGGGATGCGGAGGCCAACTTTGGCCCGCCGGCATGGTGCTGGCAAAGCACATGCTGCGTTACCAACGAGACAAGCTGCAACCTGCTAGGATGTAGGTCATAATCCCGTCACTCGCGATCATCGCCTGTTTGTGATGCTTGAGGCCTTTTGGTGGTGCGGGGCAGCTTGCAGCCAGAACAGTCTGCAGTGACTAATTATTTGATTGCTGGCAGACTCGAGCTTGGCGCTGGCGGCGGGGTTGTCGGACTCACCATAGCAAAAGGTTGCGTCAACCTTGACCACCCGCTGTACCTCACAGACATTCTTGAGATGGAGCCGCTGATGCAGCACAACATCTCATTGAACGGACTCGATGATCGGGTGAAAGCCAGGGTGCTTAAATGGTGAGTGGTGTGCCCATCTATGCTGTGTTACCCCTGGAATCATACCAAGAGCTGTGCGAGTCATTCGAGCCAAGGGAAAGAGTTGAGATGTGTTTGAAGCTTCCAATCGGGTGGTTGTATCGGGGGTCAGTTGGTTCTGACAACAAGTGTCGATGCAGGGGCGAGCCGCTTTCGCAGGAAGTCCTCCAGTTCAAGCCCGATATCATCCTCGCAGCCGATTGCGTTTACTTCGAGCCAGCGTTTCCCCTGTTGATGCAGACTTTGCAAGATCTGCTAGCCCTGACACCCTCCGCCACCGTCTTCTTCTGCTTCAAGAAAAGACGGCGGGCCGATATGCAGTTCATCAAGGCCGCCAAGAAGGCTTTCACCGTGACTGAGATTGAGGACGAGGATCGGCCTGTGTTTAGCAGAAGTAGCCTGTTCCTCTATGCCTTTACCCATAAGCAGTGATCTAAAAATTCATATCATAAAAATCTTAACACTCGGGCCGAATCCTTTGCGTGGTGAGAGGCAAATATGTGTGTGAGTATGAGTTTGTGAAGGAAAACTTGACAGGTCGGTTCCCCACAAGGCGGCTTGACGGAAAACCCGTCCAATAATCAACGAAACGCGCGTGTTTGCATGGGGCCGTGGAATGCCGAAGGAGGTTCTGGATTCCCCAAATGGCAAAAAGCCCCAAAGCCTACGACCCAAGGTTCCATCGTCCCACCATCCCACCATCCGAAGCCAGCCCTACGCAGGCGTGGATTTTGGTTAAAATCGTTGTGGATGAATTTGATGGTGAGTTGACTCTTCTGGCAGCGCGTTGGTGCTCGAGCATCGGCGACCCCGGTTGCAAAACAACAGAGGCATATCAGCCGGAAAAAAAAACAGATTCGTTCGAGACAAGAAGAGGGTCTTAAGAGCTTGGTTAACGGGCTGTGCTTTTTTACCCCTGGTGCCGCCCTGAATCCTGAACCGTGCCGTGCCGTTCCGGCAGGCTTCGGATGAACGCTTTGCTTCTTGCCAGCTCCTGCGCAATTCCCTGGGGGCCTTGATTGGGGACTGGGCAAGCTCTGGCCTCCGCAGAGGCCGCCACCCAGTTTCGTTTCCTGTCACCACCCGGCATGCATCAAGAAAATCGAAGGCGGATGGACGTGGCCATCGATTCTTGGGCCGAGTCTGGACTGTGGGTCAGATCGACGTGTCTCCCGACCCAGAAGACTCCCATTGGCTGGGCTGGTTTCCGTTTCGGTGGGCGGTTGGGCTCTGTTCCTGGAATGGCAGGGAAGCGGAAGATTCCCGGTTGTGCCTTGCAGATGCAAGGAACGGCTGACTGGCGCCATTTTCGAACAAAATTCGGATGTGACAGCGCCACTAGCTAGGGGAACCAAAATGTGACGCCGTGCCCCTGCCAAGCTTGTTTGTCCAGTACCCTTGCAGAACACGCAAGATCGGCAAATTTCCCCGTGAAAAGGCGGATAGGCGGAGTAAACCTATTAACGGCAGACGGAAATAGCCATGTAGCATGGCGGAAACTCGTGATAGTGAAATGATGAGACGCAGCCAGGGGCCCACGATTTCCAGCTCTAGTCTAAGTCCCGGGCTTCGCCAAGTCTGCCCTCGCTTGGCCACCCAGAAGCTGGGAGACCTTTAAGTTTGCTCTGCGCTCTTTTGGCTTCAGTCATTTCCTCGTTTGTTTCAACCCAACGTGGACACATTCATTCCTTTTTTGACCTGGCTCAGAGAGCTCACCTTCATTTGAAAATATTGGTTCAAACACTCTAGAGAAACTTATCAACGAAGGATCAAGAGCAACCGGTCCTCATTCTTTCCCTTGACCACGCTCTGCTTCACGTTCATTTGAACTTGCACCATCCACTGGTACACGACTCACCTGCAATCTCCCACGCAACGCGCTTGACAACTATGAAGTCGACCGTGTTTGTCGCCAGCTTGCTGGCTTCGCTTGCCGCTGCGCAGCCCCATGGCCATGGCCACGGCCACAAGCACCGCAGGAAGGGAGCATCACCACAACGGACGGGGGCTAGTCGTGAACTGGGTGACCGAGACCGTCACTGAGTACATCACCGCCATCGTCGACAGACAGCACCACCGAGCTGATTATGCCAAGCACAAGCCGGGCACCACTACCACGCTCTCGACCTCGACTAACCCCCGCTCCCTATGTTATCCCGGATCCCAAGCCCGA